GGAGCTAATCAAAGATAAATTACATGTAAATGGACACTATTTAACCCCCAAAAAAGGAGAAGATGCTATAAGAAGACACAATGGACAAAATTACAATGGGACATTCATGTTTTCTCTTGGAAATAACCTCCTTACATCTCAAAAAATAACTGACACGAAAGAGAAGCCTTATAAGTGTTTGGAATGTGGAAAATGTTATAAAACAAGCACGGAACTTAGTTCCCATGAAAGGATTCACTCTGGGGAGAAGTCCTACAAATGCAGAGAGTGTGGTGACAAGTTCAGAAGATGTAGTAATCTTATTTCCCATAAAAGGATCCACTCAGGAGAGAAACCATATAAATGCATGGAGTGTGGAAAGACCTTTGCTCAGAGCAGTGGACTCAGAAACCACAAAATGATCCACACAGGGGAAAAGCCATTTAAATGCATGGAGTGTGGAAAGACCTTTACTCGAAGAAGTAGTCTTATTTCCCATAAGATGATCCACACAGGGGAAAAGCCATTTAAATGCATGGAGTGTGGAAAGACCTTTGCTCAAAGAGGTAATTTTATTTACCATAAGATGATCCACACAGGGGAGAAACCGTATAAATGCACTGAGTGTGGGAAAACTTTTACTCGTAACTATAAACTTACTATGCACAAAAAGATCCACACAGGAGAGAAACCATATAAATGCATGGAATGTGGAAAGACCTTTGCTCAGAGCAGGAGCCTCACTATCCATAAAAAGATCCACACCGGAGAAAAGCCATATAAATGCGTCGAGTGTGGAAAAACCTTTGCTCAGAACAGTAGACTCACCATCCACAAAAGGATCCACACAGGGGAGAAGCCGTACAAATGCAGAGAGTGTGGTGACAAGTTCAGAAGATGTAGTCATCTTATTTCCCATAAAAGGATCCACTCAGGAGAGAAACCATATAAATGCATTGAGTGTGGAAAGACCTTTGCTCAGAGCAGTGGACTTAGTTGCCACAAAAAGATCCACACAGGAGAGAAACCATATAAATGCATGGAATGTGGAAAGACCTTTGCTCAGAGCAGGAGCCTCACTATCCATAAAAAGATCCACACTGGAGAAAAGCCGTATAAATGCATCGAGTGTGGAAAGACCTTTGCTCTGAACAGTAGACTCACCATCCACAAAAAGATCCACACAGGGGAGAAGCCGTACAAATGCATGGAGTGTGGAAAGACCTTTGCTCAGAGCAGTGGACTCAGAAACCACAAAATGATCCACACAGGGGAAAAGCCATTTAAATGCATGGAGTGTGGAAAGACATTTGCTCAGAGAGGTAAACTTATTTCCCATAAGATGATCCACACAGGGGAGAAGCCATATAAATGTACGGAGTGTGGAAAGACCTTTGTTCAACAATGTAATCTTATTTCCCATAAGATGATTCACACCGGGGAGAAACCATATAAATGCACTGAGTGTGCGAAAACTTTTACTCGTATCTATGAACTTACTATCCACAAAAATATCCACACAGGAGAGAAACCATTTAAATGCATGGAGTGTGGAAAGATCTTTGCTTATAGAAGGAATCTTATTTCACATAAGAGGATCCACACAGGAGAGAAGCCATTTAAATGCATGGAGTGTGGAAAGACCTTTGCTCTGAGCAGTGGACGTCGTTCCCACAAAAAGATGCACACAGGAGAAAAACCATACAAATGCACAGAGTGTGGAAAGACATTTGCTCATAAAGGTAATCTTATTTCCCATAAGATGATCCACACAGGAGAAAGGCCATATAAATGCACGGAGTGTGGAAAGACCTTTGCTC